GTTCCTCCTAAAACCGTATTGGCTATTCGACAAAAGGTTCTTGCTCTCAACTAACCACTCTAATCTATTTTTCAATAGGTGTTCAGCTATTTTAACTAGTACTGTAGAAAGAATAATCGGACGGGAAGATGATACATCGGCAGGCGATTTATTCGGTTTTAGTAATGGCAATACTGTTTGTTGTCTCCATGATGGAGGAATATTACCTGTCAACATGACAGAATTTATAATTTGTAAATAATAATTTAGCGTATTATCACTAAGATTGGCTATAAAAGTATACGGAATATTGTCTTTACCAGGACAAGAGTCTTTAAGATTAGCAACGATTCCTTTTAGCTCATGCATAGAAAATGGAGAATTTAAACCGGAATTATTTTGATACGGTGAAAGTATTAATAACTCTTTTACTGATGTTGGAACTAAGTTATCCATGAACTTTTCGGCTAAATCTAAAGATAGACTACAGATAGATGGTTCAGCAAAAGCCGAGCGAAATCTACGTATGTTACGCCAAACTATAGATGGATGGGTTTGAGGACAAACTGAAGCACAAAATTTTTTCCAGGACTCAGACTTTTTCCTCTTTAATGCTTTTTTAACTTCGGATGTAACCCTTAATAGAACTGCAAAGTTTTCCGTGGTCATATTTTCGCAATATTGGCACTCAGCTTTCTTTCTCCGGGAAATCTCCAAAGTACAATCTCTGTCCCACCAGGGTGGGGAGGGTATTAAATTACTACCAGATTTTTTAATAGGAAATATGCTATCAGCAACTTCAATCATACATCTAGCCAAAGCTGTAGAGCATTCATCTTCATTACCATTTTCCAAGATAGGTAGTGTTGAAAATTTTTCTTCCACTTGGTTTTTGTATACAGAAAAATTTACATTATGAAGTTTATATTTATGAAATGTTTTTATCTTAACAGATTTTTTATTTGCAAATGGAAAGGTTATTATTATTGGAAAATGATCACTTCCAAAAGATGAGGTGAGAGGATGCCAGAGTAAGGATGATGCAAGGCTAGGTGTACAAATTGAGAGGTCAACAGCACTAATAAAATCTGTAGGGCTAGTAAGACGGGTAGGAATACCAGTGTTAAGTAAACACAAATTGTTTTTGTCCAATATGTCCATTAGTTGCTCTCCTACATTATTTGTAATTGAACTGCCCCAAGACTGGTGGTGACAGTTGAAATCACCAAGCACTATAAATGGTTTTGGAAGTTGAGATAGAAGGTTATTGATTTCAATCAAAATAGATGTAGTTGGGTGAGGTACATATATTGACATAAAACAGATATTATTTACAATTGCAGCAATGGCAGAGTATTCGCTACAAGGTGCAGGTAATGAAAAAAGTCTATATTGGTAAAAATCCTTTATCAATAGAGCAACGCCCCCATGGCCATCTGCTCTATCTTGTCTTAAACAATAATATCCTGGTATTTTGAAATTAAATCCTAATTTTAACCAGGTTTCTGAAAGTGCTATAATAAATGGATTGTATGTATTTATTAAGTAAATAAGATCAGTTTTCTTGTTATTGATGCTGCGGCAATTCCATTGAATTATTTTGGCCAATTGAGCCATGATTTGGGTTTGTAATTTTATTAATAAGATCTAGTAAAGGAGCAACGTGGGACGGTTCATAATTATTAAATTGAGTTACAAATTTTATTAGAGGGACAATTACATCTGTAATTGTCAAATTTGAATTCCCGTTAAATTCATGTTCAATAGCAGTACCATTACCACTATTGTTGGGCATATCATAATCTTTGATCATATTCATATGTTCTGCTTGATTAAACCCCATATGAAAAGTAGGTGAACGAACTTTAGGTTTCATGAAGACAGTTTTTTTATAAGAATTGTTATGTTGAGTTGCATTATTAATTGGTGTAGTTTTAAAATTAGAGGATGCCTTAGTTGGCTGGGATGTTAGTACTTCAGAATAAGATTTATTTACAGAAGGATGTAATTTTGCTGCCTCAAAATAAGAAGTATTATCATTAGCCATAGTCACTTTTATACGCCTTTGTCTTTCATATTCAGGACAAATTCGTTTATTAGCAAAGTGGGAACCAGAACAATTACAACAATGTGCATCTTCTTCCTCAACTGAACATGTATCACCAGTATGATCCCGGCCACACTTAAAGCAGCGAGGTTTAGACCTGCACTGCAGTTTAGTGTGCCCAAAACGACAGCAGTTAAAACATTGGACTGTTGGATATATATAGCGGTCTACAACTAATGCATTATAACATAAAAATACACGTGAAGGAAGTACTTGGCCATCAAAGGTAATAACTACTGACTGGGTAGGTTTCCATGTAACAGTATTATCAATAAAAACTTTATGGTTAATACGTCTTATTTTGATTATCTCCCCGCAGCCTACAGGAAGAGTGATTTTTTCTTTTATTTCTTCAGGAGTCCAATCTTGTGGAACTCCACGCACAAGACCCATTCGGGTTATGTTGAAAGAAGGAACAAAAGCTTTATAATTATTATCATGTAATCTCGTATCACATAAGAAATGATTAGCAGCTTCAAATTTATTAAAAGCTAGGACAATTCGGTTTCTCCCAATTTTTTTAACACTGCCATCTACTATGGATTGAAAGTTATTTTTTTTAAGAAAGTAACCAAAATTCACGGGGTGTAGGGTGGAAGAGTCATTAAAAGCTGTCTGCTCACGCTGGACATGCACAATGAAAGGAGGAAAATCATTTTTGTCATAAAATTTACGACTACTCACTTCAGGTTGAGGCTGATTTAAAATGCTATCCGCGTTTAATGGGGGTGCAGTATGAGGGGTCGTTTGTTTATTATCAGTTATTGCAGACTCGATACAACTTTCAGATTCACAAAGACATCCTACATTCTTTCCCGCCATTTTGTTTTTCCGCTTTTTCTTATTACAATTTTTACATATTTTAACAGATTTACTCCTTTTCCTAGTCGGCGGAGCAGACCAATCTACAATAGTATTGACTGTTTGGTCAGTATCTACACTAGATTCACCTTGACTCATAACAGTAACATTATAAGCGACAGAGGGAACCGCAAATTGTCCTGTATTAGAAGCGGAACCCCCTGGGTCAGGGGGTTCGTTCATTGTAAATATTATTTAAACGACTTACCAGGCGATGAAGTTACTAAAAATACACTACACAAATATAAATATACAATTAAATATAACTACGCTACTCAACTGGTTGAAAAACAAATGAATTTTAATAAAATTAATTTCAAAAGGTAAAAACACGCCCGCCTACTTTAACGTTTCCCGCCTTTTTTTCCAATGTTTGTCACTGTCATAAACGCAGGTCCTAACTTCTTCGTAGGGATGCCAATTCTTTCCTACAGTGAACGATTATAAATCATTTAAATCGTAAGTTGATTATCGATTCACAAATTAGAGGTGTTCTATACCTATGGCTCCCTATGGCCACTATTTTAAAAGCTGATTTCGCATACTCTCTCCTTGCCTTTTTTTCGGTAAACTGATTTATTAAAACATTTATAGCTGATGATGACTAGTTTTTCTAAAGTTTCTGCCTTTAAGGACAATAGTGACTCCATGGTTTATCATCGTATCGCATGTACATCGATTATCGTGGGATTCCTCCGTTCAAGTATATATACTTAAATGGGGAAATCCTGCAGCCCGCGATAAACGATCTAGGCTGTTGCCAACGCACGTTTTACGTGGGTAAAAAAAGAAATTGCTTTTTTTGACTGGTCATTTCAGAAAAAAAATGTTGGGAAGTTTTTATTAATTTTTGCTTACACCCGTTGGGGGCCCGCGTGACCCGGGGGCCCCGTGTAATTGATACGGCAGATACAGTGGTAGCTACGCCACTAACTGCCAGCACAATTTCTTCGGTGACAGCCGTCGTATGACGACCACTCCTTTGTTCATCCCCCAAAGTAAGACGACCGCGTTTGAACTCACTACACCAGCGGTAGATGGTTGCTTTTGAAGGTCCTTCATCCATAAAAGCAGTTCGAAAACGATCAAATGACTCATCCGTTTCTAAGCCACATTTAAAATCGTAAAAAATCATAGCATGAAAATGTTCTCGATGCAGATTATTTGCAGATCATTTTTTTAATGAGACAAGAAAATTTTAATTGGTTTCGAAAAAATGCGGAGGGAAATTTGAAAATTGAACAGTGGCATTTTTACTTTAAAATAATTACAAGTAGCCAGTGTTTTATGCATAAAAACATTTCTTCGCAAAACTTTCTGAGTGGCCTGGTATGTGCATCTTCTTCTTCTTCTTCTTAGTCGCTATCTTCATTGCTGAAGGTCGTGTCTAACTTGAAATGTTGACCGCCTGATGTACTATGCCTCTCCACGCCTTCCTGTCCTCGACAGTCTTTATAGCCTTGGTTATTGATAGGCCAGTGAGCGACTTTACTAGGTCTGACCAGCGGGTAGGCGACCGACCGCGTGATCTTCTCCCGTCGACCTGGACAACCACCATCAGCTTCTCTAGGCTGTCTGGGTTTCTGCGAGCGATGTGTCCGAAATACTTAAGTATGCGCTGGTAACAGATAATTGACAACCTTGTGGTGATGCCGAGTTCCTCAAGTATCGACACGTTGGTCCGCCGTGCAGTCCATGGAATCTTTAGCATCCGCCTCCAACACCACATCTCAAAAGCGTCGATCCTTGCCCTTTCGCTCTGTCTTATCGTCCAGGATTCAGCGCATGTATGTGCATACACATGTCGATTTAAAGCAATCGATTCCTTTGGACCAAAACTAGATTCTAGATTAATCGATACCATATCGAACTTCTTCGTGGCTGCCCGGGCTTACTGTTTGATCACATGTTTAACACCTGATTTTATTGTTTTCGTTTCAATACAAAACAGTGTTTAATTTCTATCATAAAATCATTTGCGTTTAAACTTTTAAGTGTATTTGGTTACTTTTCACCGAAATGTGTAATATTATTGTGACATAGAAACATAATTGTAAAACTAATAGGTGCTCTAACTTAGATATTGAAAAAAATCTTTGAATATGGAGAATAAAGCTGAAGTTTTTGAATGTTATATGTCTTCTTTACCTGTTGAAGTGCTTACTATAATATTGCAACAATGTGAATGTCAAGATATTCTTGCATTTGCCTCAACTTGTAAAGATTTTAGGGACATTGTTTTCAGTAATCAGTTACTATGGAAGAATAAATTTAAGCCTATGTAAGTAAAAGCATAATACTTTTTCAATTGTTGTGCTATCTATATTAATACCGATCTTTAGAAATGCATAAAAAAATCTTTAAACCATAATTTTATTGTAGTTAATAATAATTTACTTTTTTGGATAAACTAAAATTTCTTTTAGTACTTAACTAGTAATTTAATATCTAATGATACTTAATAAAAATTGTAGAAGTGTTGTTCTATTTGCTATACAAAGTATTGGTTCTGTGATGTAAAATATCCTGTTGCTGTCAAGATGCCATGTTCCAGTTATATTTGTCAACAACATAATAATTATACATATATAAATTTCCAGACATATTAGCAACAGACTTTTATGTTATTTAATAACTTGCATTCCCAGGTAATGTTTCAATACGAGCCGCACATCAGCCCTACTACTATCATGTCTTACACACACCTGGGGCCTAATGTTGTAACTTTTATACTTCTCCCTTCACCCTTTAAAATACAACTGTTTCCATTTAAAATTAGTTAGTGTCTAGGCCCCTCTTGGCTCCTCTGACCATTGTCTAATCTGGAGTATAATGCTATATGGAGTGTAGTATAGTGCCACTCACCTATTCACCCTGATCATGGTATGTCAGCAGATTGGGATGGGATGCGTTGTTTCTTTCCGTCCTACCCGTGGTGACGGGTTAGCTTCTTGCAGAATGTTCCCAATGTCATTACTGATTCTGTCACCAATGTCGTTGTCCAGGGTATGGAACTTTTTGTGCTTTCATCTGTGGTTCTCATTGATGGCGGATTGATGGCTCTTTGTTTTCCAAGATTACAGAATCCATTATAAACTGCCTGCTCCTTCAGTGCCTGGAGGACTACCAGCTGATCAGCGACCACAAGTATGGCTTCCGCAGAAGTTGTTTTGCCGGTGATCTTCTAGTTTACTTACTCAATGCATTGTTGGGCAAAGGCGATCGAGACCAAGAGGGAAGCATTAGCGGTCAGTCTGGATATCCCAAAGGCTTTTGATGGGGTCTGGCACAAAGCACATTCTTCGAAGGTTTCTTCTTATGGGTTTTCCGAAAAACTATGCATTTGGGTCACAAACTTTTTTGCGAATAGAAGCATCAAGGTCGTATTTGACAGTGCATGCTCTGACTCCGAATCCTTAAACGCGGGTGTCCCACAAGGCTGTGTGCTATCACCTACGCTATTTCTTCTGCATATCAATGATGTGCTTAAAATTTATGCCATTCATTGCTATGCAGATGATAGCACAGACGATGCCTTATATACCGGCCGCGCAAATAATTTACGGGAAAATGTCACGGAGAGCTCGAACAAACTTTTGTCTGAAGTTGAGACTGCTCGGCAAATTATCAAAATAACCCCACAAAAACACAGGTATGCGCGTTTACCGCAAAAAAATACCATTTGTAGTATTTGTCTCAAAAAGGGGGGTTTGAGAACACTCCCCTTACTGCCTCTGATAGTATCGGTATTCTTGGCACTGACATATAGAGCGACATCCAGTTTTGAGTTCATATGGAGGGCAAGGCCAAATCTGCTTCCAAGAAGCTTGGTGTACTCAATAGATTCAGGGGGTACTTCACACCGGCCCACCAAGTGCAACTTTATAAAGCACAGGTTCGATGTCACTTGGAGTACTGTTCTTATCTTTGGGCGGGACACCCCCGTACCAACTTCTCCCACTGGATCCCATCCAGCGCCGAGCGGCTCAAATTGTCGACGACCAGTACCTTTTTCAAAAGCTTGATCCTTTGGCTTTGCGTAGAGATCAGAGCCGGCGTAAGGCGTGGGCGGCGTGGGCCACCGCCTACGGCCTCGCGGTACAAGGGGCCTCGCGCCTCATAAATTTTTATGCATTGCTTAAAAGCGATCCGTCTTCAGGTCGCTACAGAACAGGGCCTCGCGAAATCTGTCTTGCCCACATCAAATTTAGGTCTTGCCCCGCCACTGGTAGAGCTGTAGCTTCGCTCTGCATCTTCTATATCGCATTTATCACGAGGAGTGTTCTGAGGAATTGTTCGGATTAATACCAGCTGCTGCTTTTCGCTATCGTACATTACGACAAAAATTTCACTATCTTGATACGTGCATGCTTGCTGATTTTGTCGAAATTTTTTCCATGTACGACAAAACTGTGGAATACATTGTCACCAGCAGTGTTTCCGGACCAATACGACATGCCGGCCTATTGGTAGCTTTTTTGACATATACAGTGTAACCAAAGAGAAAATTGCACATGCATATTGAACAAGCATAGTAGTGGCGTTGTAACAAAGCAGTAGTGGATCACTAAATAGCTCGGTGATCACCTTCAACTTCAAAAACCTTCAAGAAAAGAGCTTTAACAAAACCAGGGGGTCTACTACTCTTTTTTTTCGAAACGAACTTTCGATAACGAAGTTCAAACGAAATTAAATTTCGTCAATTTAAGGTTATAACTATAACCTTAAATTGACGAAATTAAATTTGAACGATAAACTATCAAATTGAAGCTGTCTTTGAGTAGACTTAGAAAATCTACACTTCATTCTACATTCCGACGACGAATATTATTATAAATAAAAACGAACCAGAAACATACTAAGAAAAGTGCGAAGTTTCGATCGAAATTTCGTTCTTCGTTGAATTAGAGTAGGCCTCCAGGAGTAACACAAATGCGATGCCGGCCTTTAACTCCTTCCTTAAAGGCCGGCATCGCATTTGTGTTACTCCTGGTGTTGCAGGTGTCTATGGGCGACAGTGATCACTTACCATCAGGTGAGAGGTCAGCTCGTATGCCCCCTATAATATATATATTTATTTATCAAAATTACATTTAATGTACCTTTATAGTGCTGCAAGTGGGCCGGAGTGGGGTAGCACATTGCGTACCCACTTAATCTAGCCAAAGTATTAGTATAAAATCAAATCCACTACATTGTGTTTTTTATTTACAGTGTCACATCCTATATGTTTGAATCACTCGAAAAGAATGGCGATGGCAACTGGTTCAATGAACTGAAAGAGTTTTACTTGCTTAAAAAGCGTATTTACAAGGAATTAATTGCCATGTCACCAAAATATTATTGGTATGTTTTAGAATGATTTCAAAAATAAATTATTTAATTTTACTTATAAATTAATTACTATAAATTAATATACGTATATTCGTCTTTACAGGCATTGCTGTGATATAACATTAGAGGATGTGAGGAATTTTTTTGATATTGCTCTGTCAAGCAATGTGAATTATTTTTATGTTATTCATATTTTACAAGGCTTGGTAAAGGAAGTTAATAATTACATCGCTAAAAACTGTGCCAAGAAGTAAGTGTAGTGTTATAACTACATACTAAGCAATATCTGCTTTTCTACAAATAATGTTAAAGTAAATACTCATTCACAAAACCAGTTTCACACACCAGCACTTTGGTCATCAAATCACACAAATGTGATTTTTGCTATTACTATACAGGATGGTCCAACTAGTGACGTCAACAAATTTTTTTAGATTCCTCGCATCTGGGGGTATCCGAAAATACCCCATGTATGTTCCGCGATTTTTCTTACTTTTCGAGTTATAATTATTTTTGTGTATTTTTAATGATTTCTGCCAGTGAGTTTTCAAAAATTCTTGTCTTTTTTCGTTGTAGGTATTTTGCAGTCTTTTTTTTTGTGACATAATTGTCTTGAATGTTGTTTTAATAAAAAAATAACTCAACTTTCTGCAATTATTTAAAGTTACTCAAAAATGGTCCGAAAGTTGGATCTTTAGTTTTTAGTAGGATTTACTTAAACGTTCAACTTCAATACAAAAATACAAAAAGGAGTTTCCATAGCTTCGGCTAAAATTAAAAACTCCGCATGCTTCTAAACTACCAAAGATCATAAAAAATGAACTTAATCAGCCTATTTTTGTTGTAATTGGCTTTGGAAGGCGGATAGGCTAAAAATCATTGAAACACGATTAAAGCATTAGACATTATTTTATCTCCTTTTTTTCATTGTTATGGTAAATTAAACCTAAAAATGTAATTTCAAATTAAATTTAATTGAAATTTCTGTAAAATAACTTTAGCATGTTGAATTTTATAATAATTTATCATATTATATATATATATATATATATATATATATATATATAATATGTATATATTTATGTATGTGCCTTTGCCTCAGGGTGTGAGGGAGGACGAAAACGCCGACCGTGAGAGGTACGGGCGGCGGGCACTTTTGATTTTGACAAGAATGTGCCTGCCGCCCCCACCTCTCACGGTCCCCGTTTTCGTCCTCCCCCACACCCTTTACCGCGCAAGCGAGGTGATCACTCAGTTAAGCGGTCTACCTTGTAGCGATTCATATGAAAACATTATTTTTTCAAACAAAAATTAAAACCTAAAACCTGCTGATTTAGGACACTATATATTGGCTAATTACTCAAAGCGCCATCATGTTCGAAATTTAATTCTGACTTCATATTCGGATTCAGCTCTCTCGAAAATATTAATATCAGTCATAAGATGGGTACTGGTTCAAAAATTTTACCCCAAAAAAAAACAGGACGACTCGACTATTTGGTTAAAACTAACCAGTTTCGTTGTAACTACGACGACAGATTTTTTCACCGAAAACTGGTTTTAGCCTGCTATGAGTTTGACTGTGAACGGAAATTTTACGAAATTCTTTTTTATTACTATGTAATCCCAGTCCCATCCTATTGTTCGGTACACGCTGTCACTCTGTAGGTATATGAAACCAATAATACTAAGTTAAAATTTTGTTTCGAGTTTAGATAATCTCTTCCAATGTTTCATCCAATGCCTAATAAGTTTACAATTAAAGGAGTTATACCTAATTAAAAATATTATTTTGCAGACCATTTACTATGACTGAAATATACTATGCTAAGGTGGTGCTACGTCACCTGATGCATACCTTTCTTGCTGTTAAATGGGTGAAATTTCACATGAAAAAGGAATTGCCTCCTGAAGTTGTAGTAAATTTCTTTTTGCAATGGATAGACTCTGACCACATGCATCCAGATGCTGAGGTAACAGTAAAGGTGAGAAATAAGGTTTCTTTTTTATACTTACATTACTTACATACTTTTAGTTTCATATGCATCGGTCATAGGCCTAGTTTTATACAATATCTTCACATCCCTCCCCACCAGTTCTTTCGTAACAGATGCGATTCCAGTCTGTGCTTAACAAAAAGAACACCCGGTTGAAGTGGCGTATTCACGGTAGTGCATAAAATCCAACCATATCAACTTCACTTCACGGAGAAGAAATTGTCCTGAAAAATGAGAAAGCAATATCATACCTGAATGCGACTGCGTCAAGAATCTTGTTTTCCGGCAAACTAAGAGGTTAACTTAGAAAACACACAACAAACAGAAACGTGATCGGATAACATGAAGTTTCAAAATCTACGTTGGTTGTGGATCGTAGTTTAGTCCTCAAAGTGGTCAACTAACTGCTACTATATTCTCTTTTGAAACCTTTACGGGACTTATGGTGTTCAAATATGGGCCAGCAATAGCAATATCATGTTTCTTCAAAGAGCACAAAATAGAATTCTCGTAAAAGAAATACAAGGTTCCACGAATTAATAACCATGCGCGTAAACCACAGACGCCACATTACTAAATTTTTGTTTGAAATCGAAATAGCCAAAGTTGGCGTCGTGCTGGGAGGATAAACCACGTTTTGTCACTATGAAGTCACAGTCGGTAAAACGATGTATTGCCGTTGGTCGATGTCTGGGGGCGTGTCGTTATACTACCTAGGCTTGGCCAAAGCGGGTACGCTTTAAAGCGATCTCTGATTACGATGTTCTGTGACCCAAATCTGTTGGCTGCTGAATTGCTGGATATCTCGAATGCGACAAGCAGATTCGGAAGACGTCATGTAATCAAGCTACGAGACAGAGGCACTCAGCTCCCTAATGTACTATTCTCACTTACCGGCGCTCGCCGAAACGCAGCGCAGCGCATATTACAATTTGCTGAAGGAAATTGAAACATCCACCACACCACATTGAAACATCCACAGTAGTTAAGTTCCTTTTACTTGCATGCGGAACCGAACAGCTGTAGCAGAATCCTAGCGCAGCCGGTCGGCTTCATAGCTGTTTGTATTGCATGCAAATAAAGGAACTTATACCACTTTATGGATGTTTCAAAACTTTTCAACTAATTGTAAAATGCGCTGCGCTGCGCCGGTGTATGAGTCACTCCGCATACAACAATATTGATAAAAATCTTGAAGTACTAATCACACTAACATTATATAGGCGAAAGTGTGTATGTTTGTTACTTCTTCACGTCTAAACGGCTGGAGTGATTTTAATAAAATTTGGTATAGAGTTAGCTGACACCCTGGATTAACACATAGGCTACTTTTTACTGCGGGAAAATATCCCTAATAAACCGCGGGTAACACCGCGGGGCACAGCTAGTTGAGTATAACCATTTAAATAAATCTTTAATAATCAACTGTTATTTACACAGATTTAATAAAATGTGTCTAAACACACATTTTTTCTTATTGTAATTAAGCGTCAATGAATGAATGGGTAGTCCAGTCAACAAGTTCAAAAACGTTAAAAATAGAGATAAAGCTTATAAAAATATGAGCAATAGCTCATTGGATTCGGAACGACCTCTAGAAAAATGTGTTTTGAGGATTTTACTGCACGTAAAAAATTGCAATTGTTATTAACAAAATAAGATGAAAAAAAAGAGGTATTTACGTTTTTGTTAATAACTCATAAACTATTAATATTTACGATATTTGGAAAAAAGGTCCTTAAAGAGGAGGAAATTTCCAAAAAAAAAGTCCCAGCTCCTAGAACTCTACCTCTATTATTTATAATTTTAATTTAACGCTGAAAATAGGGCTCCGCGCAGCCATTACGGCATGGGCGCACTGCCGTTAAAGACAGTTTCTTACATAAAATTATTTTTTTATAGTAACAAATATGAATTTAAAAATTTAAATAAATTATGGTGTCATCCAGATACTTGAAAGAATATATTCCCGTTGGATTTTTTTTTTTAAATTAATTTTTCAAAAAGTTATGCAATTGTTAATTAACGAATTTTTTTCCTATCTCCGTTTTCATAAATGACGACATAAAATTTTAAATAATAAACCTATAAATTTTTGGCTCTGTGGAGCTCTTCTTATATATATACTTAACAAGATCCCGCGATAAAAGTTTATTAAAGTTAATTATTTTGTTTATAACAATTTTTTAAAGTTAACAAAAAATGAAAAGTCTAAGAAATGTTATTAAAAAATTTTTTTTAAACAAATGTTATATTATTGCTGCTTTCTTATCCAACAATGGCATTAAGTAACATCGGAAAAATTTTTTTTACATCATTTGTTAAGAAATTGTTTATAAACAAAAAGACAAGTTTAATATTTAAAGAATTTTTTTTTTACCATTATGTTGTCTTGGCAAAATAATGATTTTTAAAAAAAAAATTTTTCTTAAATAATTTTTTTTATTGTTATAATCGTTTTTTTTATATTTCGATTGTTTAAATAATTAGTTAAGGAATGATTTTCTCTTTAAAAATCATAATTGGCATTTCTTCATAGGTAAATAGAAAATAAATTTTTTTTTATCAATAATTTCATTGTTTGTTTACTTAACAATTTGTTATAAACAAATTCTAACTACCGTTATATTTTTTTTCTAGAGCTAAAAAAAATAACAAAAACAGCCATATATATCAAAATACTAAAAAAAATTTTTTCTATTTTTTATAACGCTTTTAAATATTACACGATACCAAAGATGCACCGGACACTTGATTTGTCAAGTAAAAAATTAATATAACTTATAAACTATTCGAGATACGATAATGGACATTCAGGTCGTTTTTATAAAGCATTAATTAATCTTCAAAATAAGCTAAAAACCAAGTTTGTAACTATTGTCTATCAGCTAATACATGCATTTGTTTATAAAATTTTGAGATTTCTTTAACTTTTTCGTATCTCTTATGACTTACAACTTAATAAATAATTAAAATACAGCTATAAACCTTAAAACAATTTTGTTTAGCGATACATTATCTCCCAAATTATTAATTAATCGTACCTCCATCTCTAATTGTTTAAACAATATACGTGATTAGTTAAAGAAATCTCAAAATTTTATAAACAAATGCATGTATTAGCTGATAGACAATAGTTACAAACTTGGTTTTTAGCTTATTTTGAAGATTAATTAATGCTTTATAAAAACGACCTGAATGTCCATTATCGTATCTCGAATAGTTTTTAAGTTATATTAATTTTTTACTTGACAAATCAAGTGTCCGGTGCATCTTTGGTATCGTGTAATATTTAAAAGCGTTATAAAAAATAGAAAAAATTTTTTTTTAGTATTTTGATATATATGGCTGTTTTTTTTATTTTTTTAGCTCTAGAAAAAAATATAACGGTAGTTAGAATTTGTTTATAACAAATTGTTAAGTTAACAAACAATGAAATTATTGATAAAAAAATTTTTTTTTCTATTTACCTATGAAGAAATGCCAATTATGATTTTTAAAGAGAAAATCATTCCTTAACTAATTATTTAAACAATCGAAATATAAAAAAAACGATTATAACAATAAAAAAAATTATTTAAGAAAATTTTTTTTTAAAAAATCATTATTTTGCCAAGACAACATAATGGTAAAAAAAAAATTCTTTAAATATTAAACTTGTCTATTTGTTTATATAAAAATAAGTCGGGTTTTCCTTCCTGACGCTATAACTCCAGAACGCACGTACCGATTTCCACGGTTTTGCATTCGTTGGAAAGGTCTCGGGCTCCGTGAGGTTTATAGCAAAGAAAATTCAGGAAAAATAAAAAAAAATCTTCTTTTAATCACCAAACGAAATGTTACATAAAACGAAGCCATCTGGTGGTGAAACGGAGTTCGCCGGGTTTGCTAGTTTGTTTATAAACAATTTCTTAACTAATGATGTAAAAAAATTTTTTCCGATGTTACTTAATGCGATTGTTGGATAAGAAAGCAGCAATAATATAACATTTGTTTAAAAAAAAATTTTTAATAACATTTCTTAGACTTTTCATTTTTTGTTAACTTTAAAAAATTGTTATAAACAAAATAATTAACTTTAATAAACTTTTATCGCGGGATCTTGTTAAGTATATATATAAGAAGAGCTCCACAGAGCCAAAAATTTATAGGTTTATTATTTAAAATTTTATGTCGTCATTTATGAAAACGGAGATAGGAAAAAAATTCGTTAATTAACAATTGCATAACTTTTTGAAAAATTAATTTTAAAAAAAATTCCAACGGGAATATATTCTTTCAAGTATCTGGATGACACCATAATTTATTTAAATTTTTAAATTCATATTTGTCACTATAAAAAAATAATTTTATGTAAGAAACTGTCTTTAACGGCAGTGCGCCCATGCCGTAATGGCTGCGCGGAGCCCTATTTTCAGCGTTAAATTAAAATTATAAATAATAGAGGTAGAGTTCCGGGAGCTGGGACTTTTTTTTCGGAAATTTCCTCCTCTTTTTTCTAAATATCGTAAATATTAATAGTTTATGAGTTATTAACAAAAACGTAAATACCTCTTTTTTTTCATTTTATTTTGTTAATAACAATTGCAATTTTTTACGTGCAGTAAAATCCTCAAAACTCATTTTTCTAGAGGTCGTTCCGAATCCAATGAGCTATTGCTCATATTTTTAGGAGCTTTATCTCTATTTTTCACGTTTTTGAACTTGTTGACTGGACTAGGGATATTTGTTAATAAATAAATTGTTTCTTTCATGGGATTCAAAGAAAGATAAAGTATTAATGATTAATCCTCATTAATACATTGTTTTTATTTTTCATATAGATCAACGCGTTGGTTGAGAAGGTGAAGAAAATTTTGAATAATTTACAACCGCGATGGTCGTCTCTGAGTGTTGCGGAGAGGATCGCCACGAAAGTTCTGCACGAGAAGCAAGTACTCGGCGCCATCACTCAAGTGTTGTTCCACGAGAACAACATGGTTATCACAGTCACTGTCAACCTGGAAACTCTCAGCATTACTGAGGTATATTTAATCATATAAGATAGACAGGGCCGGATAGAAGGCAGGGCAGGCGTGGCTGTCGCCCCGGGGTCCTACAAGAAAGGAATACCCTCACAAGATATAAAAAATAACCAAAGGAGATTGCTCAAATTGGCCCAAATGCACAAAAAATATTGACATATACGGTAATTCTTGGCGTAATTTATACTTTATTGTACAGTCATTAGATTTTAACGGACACCTTTGTATAATATATACATTTTAAAAAAGACTTAATTTTACCGGTTTGAAAAACATACGAATCATTTTTAATGGCTATAGGTGTAGTAACATTCAGTACAAAGACTGATCGAAGTTGTTTATATAACATCAAATCAAATCTATTTTGTAAAGATCGATAAAATCAATGTATCAAACATGTATGGAAGCTGAGCAATCTCCTTTCGGGTCACCAACCGGAAATAGGGGGTGTATGTTTTATGGTTCTGAGTAGGTGCCATGCCTCCCTAGGGTAGAAAATTGGTTTTGAGGTGACAAAATAAACATCAGCTATACATATTGTACTAGTTTCCACTTTTTGATCATATAATGTGAAGGAAAAATAAATTCGCGCCAATAAAGAAACGAATCAAAAATGACGATAAGGAAAAGAGCTCGATAATGCAGGCAGTGGTTCGCTTAGCTTTTCGCAATGGACTTTCATATCCTATGACCAAAATGTATTATCTAAATGAGTAAAAATGTATTATGTATTTCGAGCTCCTCCATGTTCCGGTAGACACGTTAAGCCTTTAGTCCCGGCTGCATCTGCAATCGGTAGTACCCACCAACTGGGTTCAACGTGGTTGGTCATGGCCCATTCTCCCTGTTCAATTCATAAGGAAGGCCCCAGCAGCGAGGACATTGATACGTTGATGATGATGATACAAATGGTATCCTTTCCATTGGTCGCAGGCGCTACAATGCAATTGCCCGAGCTTCATAACAATAGGTACGATCTACCACGCGGTGGCAAACCGCTGCGACGTGGCATACGACCTGGTCTCCTTCCTGAGCCACCTGTTCGTGGAGTGGCGCGACCGCAGCAACCATTATGTATCTCCAGTTCTTCCATGTTTCGGGAGACACTTTAAGCCTTTAGTCCCAGCTGCTTCTGCAATTGGTAGCACCCACCAACTGGGTTCTACGTGGTGTATCATGGCCCATTCTCCGTGTTCCATTTATAAGGAAGGCCCCAGCAGCGAGGATATTGATACGTTCATGATGATGATACAAACGGAATCCTTTCCGACTTTGACTTTTTTGACGACCTCCGTGGCCGAGTGGTTTGTACGCCGGGTTTCAAGGTGTCGCCGACTCGAGAGGTCCTGGGTTCGAATCCCAGCGGGGGCAGATGTTTTTGTGATGAATAGGAACATTTGTACTCCAGTCGTGGATGTTTAATATGTATTTCTATATAAATATACTTATGTATGTACTGTATATGTATTCTATCCGTTACACTAGTATCCCATAACACAAGCCTTTACAGTGCTTACTTTGGGGCTAGGCTAATTGGTGTGAGTGTTGGAAATATTTATTATTTATTTTATTTATTTCTATTGGTCGCAGGCGCTCGAATGCAATTGCGCGAGTTTCATAACAATAGCGGCGATCTACCACGCGGTAGCGAACCGCTGCGACGTGGCGTGCGACCTGGTCTCGTTTCCGAGCCACCTGTTCGTGGAGTGGCGCGATCGCAGCGACCACCGCCACCCGGTCGTCTACTCCGTCGACCTCGGCTCGGGTGAAGTCCATCCGAAGCGACGTTGCCCCTTCTCGAAAACGGACCACGTTGCCACTTACAAATACTGTCCTGATTCCCTTCTGCAATACATTTACTCGTTGTTCAATTCGAGCATGGACGGCGTTAAGAATTGGTACGATATCACGCTCTCGGTGGAATACTGACCTATTAGTATTCTAGTCACACAGTAATTACACTTTAAGGGTCAATGCACACAACAGCGACGCGGCGAGTACTTATCACTGAAAGCAGTGTGATATAATTTTCAACTTTATCTACACACTTACTACTTTTGTACTTACTAATTGGTGTGTGTTGGTTTTTTTTGTGTTATAGGGGGCATACGAGCAGACGGCTCACCTGATGGTAAGTGATCACCGTCGCCCATGGACACTTGCAACACCAGGAGTATCACAAATGCGATGCCGGCCTTTAAGGAAGGAGTACGCTCTTTTTTTGAATTTAATTAATTTATTTATTTACACTTAAAAATCCAATATTTTCTGCACGCGACATAGTGGAACCATTTCATTTATACGTGTTACGATACAGTTTAAAAATATTTTAAACTGTACTGTTTTTCACATAGCTTTGAGTGAAAAATTGAAGAGGCGTGAAGAAACATCTTGCACGCCGGCAAGGTTAGGATGACTGGTGTGGTTGAAATAACTGCACCATCTATCTTCGCGTCTGAACTCCACCGTCACTTAATATCAGATGGGGTGAAGTCATTTGGACCACCTTCACAGAAAAACGTAACGATAAATGCTTGTGCTTACACAGTCTATCCCTAGCATTCTATTTACATCCAAATACCGCTGGAACTTTACAACAACTTACCTTGTAATTTATGAAAATTGCAAGAATCTAAATCAAAGCTATGTACAGCCACAGGCTTTGTCTGTAGCTGTGAGCAACTTAATTTTGACCTGAGTACCGCTATGTCAGTATTTTATCAAACGTGCGATATGTTGTTGTTTTTTATTATGATATATTTAATTTTATTTATTTTTACTACACTTTATACTTTACAACAGTTTCAGAACCTAAGATACAGTGGCGTAGCGTATCTATTTACATCTAGATTAATTAAAGGCTATGTAGCTTCAGCCATTTTTTCAGTATTCGTTGCCAACATTCTACCTTACAAACGCGTGACGTGGGAGAGGATTTACCCCGCCTTGCTTCGTCACTATCAAAATAACTAGATCAAAACGATTACTCGATAGTAAAATATTGAACACCTATTTTATCAATTAATAAAAAAGATATTCACTTGTAGACAACTGAGATAATGTAGTCCAATAGTCATAAATAAATATATCTTTTTTATATGTAGTATAACTAATTTAAAATATAAATATAATGGGTATGTGATTATTGAATTTTCATCAATAGCATGCTGATTTCCAAATATCAATCTACTTAATTAGGTACCAAGTTATTAGAACTGATTTGTGTATTTATATTAAAATTAACCTATTTCCAGGAATACACAAAATGCATTGCACCTGTTAAACTTCCTGGGAACTAGCCACAGCCAAACGAACCCGTACAGGAATTTCCTTGCTTACCTGATTGGTCACGCTCATCTGCCTGCGATGAATATACCACTCGATATAACCAATGTAATTTTTTGATATTTTACTTTCAATTTACCTTGTAATAATATTTTATGTGGAACTCTAAATTTTGGTGTTTGTCTACGCAAGCAGATTGTAGTTGTACTAAAGTTATATTAACAGGTGGGCGTGGGCTGTTTACAGTTTTGTAACTGTATTGTATAATACCCACCGATCAGTTAGAGACAGCGCGAATATTGTATTGAGGAAACGAATTGAAAAGCTTAGGATTTAAATTTGAACGTAAAGTCGACGTGAATTCCAAGAAAATATAAAATACTTCTTCAATTTTTTTACCTCATTAGAAAATATTCGTGACCGCGCCGAGTATATAAGTACAGTATCTTCTGGTCTATAGATATCATACAACGCCCCTTGCGTTTCCATTGAATCAGAGCGGGACGGAGCGATGCTTAGGATGCATGTATTAACCAATCACATCACGATGTTCGAAATGTGACTCCACTTTAGTCGAAACAGTAGCTGCGTTCGTTATTCTCGTATGATCAATCTTTTTAGTATGGATCGTTTGTTATTTACATCTCTATATGTACCTCTAGGTAGGGGAGGTAAATCTGAACTGTTCAGCTCAGATCATTTCGATGTAAATCTGTTTGCACGGAGTATTTTGACCGACGAGAAAGATTAATCTGGTTATCTTCCATGTATCTGTCATGTTGGGGGTTAAGTTTCATTTAGAGGTTAAACGTTAATCTACGGTTGGTGGGGGCGTTTGTTAATAGCAATTTACTCAGATTAATCTGTGATCACATGACCAAAAATCCGTCGACTCTAGACGTTACTTACGTTAAAGAAGTTTACTTGCTACACTCTCCTTCCATAAACAAGCAATGTAAGTTAAATGGAACGCGCGCGAATATTAAACGTGGAGTAGTGGATGCGGAAATATAGCAAAGCTCGTCGCGCGCTGAGCGAAAAGGCTTTAGTAATATAGACAGACCCGTCTTTCCCAGTGGGCACTTTGGGCAAGTGCCCAGGGCCCCGTGATCGATAGGTGGGCACCTCAGATCATAAATACAAAGTCCCTAGTTCTTGTTAGATCACCAAACGGGGGTCATAGGGGCCCCATTATCCTAATATGCCCAGGGCCTCCCATAGGTCAAAGACGGCACTGATTATAGACTATGTACATCCATACGCTGCGGCAGGTCATATAGAAGACCGAAGAGTATAATATATGCTTTCGTGGACTATCAGAAAGCCTGCGAGCATTGGGCGGTCTTCCCAAAGGTGCCAATAGACTAAGCTAGGTATGTCGAAGTGTTAAGATGCCCTTACAAAAACGCCCCTATGTTTGCTAGACCACTAATCATTCTATCCAACTGCAGCGAGGCGTGAGAACGGGAGACGTATTATCTCCGAAACTGTTCACAGCTGAATTGGAGGATATTTTCAAGCTTCCGAGGAAAGAACAAGGCATCAACATGAATGACGAGTACCTTACATATCTTCGTTTCGGTAATAAAGTAGTAGATACTTATGGCCGAGACCTTGGAAGATCTAATGTCTCGGCTAATTAGATCTTCTAATTCTTGAAGAATCTAATTCTAAAATCTAATTCTTGAAGATTTAAGTATGTAGTGCTTCCCAAGGCGGGTCTTAAGATGAATATGGATAAGACGAAAATCATGCCGAATGCCCATGTTAAAATTAAAATTGAGAACACCACACGCGAAGTTGTTAACAACAAATAAATTAGTTGGGACAAAAAGTCCAGTTAGGTAAGTCCAACTTCGAAAAAGAGATCCCTCTTCGAATCCATCTCACATGAGCAGCAAAACACTCGTCACTCGTAAGCGTCTTATTAGTAATGAATTGAAAAGATCACACGCGCCGTCAATACATGCCTACATAGTAGGCATGTATTGACCGCCCGAACGTACTTGACAGAACGCGTATTTCGCGACGGGCGCGGTGCCTGCGGTATATTTTTGGTAAATAGTAGGTACTGGATTAACGATTAACGGACTTAGGATAATTTAAGGGAAGTTAACGAGTTCGTTAACATTTTTTTAAGTTAACTTAAAAGTTAATCCGTTAATAGAAATGTTAACTTCGTTAATTAACGATTATCGGATTAACAAATTAATGCCCAGCTATGGGTATGTGTCAAAGTGTTAAGGTGCCCATACAAAAACGCCCCTATGTTTGCCAGACCACTAATCATTCTATCCAACTGCAGCGAGGCGTGAGAACGGGAGATGTAATATCTCCGAAACTGTTCACAGCCGAATTGGAGGATATTTTCAAGCTTCTGGGGAAAGAATGAGGCATCAACATCAATGGCGAGTCCTTACATATCTTCGTTTCGCTAATAAAGTAGTAGATACTTATGGTCGAGACCTTGGAAGATCTGTACACAATGCTTGAAGATTTTAGTAGGTAGTGCTTCCCAAGATGAACAGGGAAAAGACGAAAATCATGACATGACCATGTTAAAATTAAAATTGAGAACACTACACTCGAAGTTGTTGACTCATTATTTTTGTCCTACTATTCGTAAGTGGAATTCTATGCCCGCGCACGTGTTCCTTCCTAAAATTTGAGGTCCTTTAAAAGAGGCGTGAAGAAGCATTTCTGCAGGCAGGCAAGGTGAGGATGGCTGGTGTGGCAGTTTATAACTGCTGCACCAGCTATCTTCGCGTCTGGACTTTGCCACTATTTAACATCAGGTGTGGTAGAGTCATTTGCCTAAATAGCTATAAAAATATACTTATAATCATCTCCACGTTCCATTTACCTCAGTGTCTCAAGACAAAAGTGTTAGATTAGTGTGTTGCCAGTGATGATCTATGGAAGCGAAATGTGGTCGTTTACTACGACGGGTCTTATAAGAAGGTTCAAGGTCACGCAGCGAACACCGGAGAGAAGGATACTACTCGATAGAATGAGGGTATCCGTAGGAGACCTAAGGTAACCGATATCTCTCGAAGGATTGTAGCGAGTAACACCAATGGCACTCGGGGCGGAAAGATTCTTGAATGGTGACAACGCACCGGACGACGCTCAATAGACAAGCCCCCCACGAGGTTTACCGGTGGAGATCGTCGGTAAACCATATAATACTTTTTGTACTTACTGTAGAAAGTCGATATAAGGACACAATTTCTTGTATAATAAAAAAATATAACAAAATCATCGAAAAACTGGTCTACCCAGATATTGATTACCCTTAGACCCGAAAACCCGGGTTTTCAAAATTGAAACGGGTTTCGATGCCCTAGTGTGGAGCAAACTTTATTTTAATACGTGATGTCCAAAGCAATGGGACACTGCTGGTGAAATGGCATTAAAATAGATAACATTTTAATAAAAAAATTAGAACGTGATATTTTCGTTCCGTGTTGAATTCCTATTTAACATCTGAAGTTTCATCACTAACGGAGACAAATTAATTTAATGATTCATCACTTGTTATCTCATTTTATTGTTATTACGAAGAAAGTGACAACATCAATTTAAGTCAAAGTTAATTAACTTTTAACTTTCTCTCAACGCCGCCCCGCTGTCCCACTTCACTTTATTCCGACTTCCGCTTCAGTCAGGACTGGCTGGTGGAAACACTCTCCATTTACAGTTTGGCCTATCTTATACATATATACAATTCTCGTGTCGCAATGTTAGTTACCATACTCCTCCGAAACGGCTTGACCGATTTTTATGAAATTTTATATGCATATTCATATAGGTCTGAGAATCGGCTACTATCTATTTTTAATACCCCTAAGTGAGGTGTTGTCCACGCCTAACATTTTAATTTTTTTATAATGTGGCTTTAAAAAATACATGAAACCCTAAATTTTACCCTTCTACCGCCAACCCCTACTTAAAGGGTCAACTCACACCGAAAGAGCGGCGAAGGGCAGCGAAACGCAGCGACCCGCTCGGTAGAGAAGGCGAGCTTATGGAATTCGTCGAAATTCCCGCGGCGCCGCGGGAGTCGTTCGAGTTTGTCATGCGATAATAAGTATTATAGTAATGAAAATAAAGTTAAAATTCACATGACACTGAATCTGCGCTCCGCTTCGCTGCGCTCCGACGCTCTTTTGGTGTGAGTGAGCCTTATAGTAGTACGAAGTTCGCTGGCTCAGCTAGTACAGGTATTTATAAAGGCAGGCCTGAAGTTAGCCCTTTGGCTGCGTGGTAGGCAATTTCATTACAAATATCGTGACTCTAATGCTCAGCTAAACAACAAACTTCATACCTTCCAAGATGAATATACTTTCCAAAGTTTATCACTGTTCTTTTTGCTCTGCTCTGCAATTTCCAAAACTGCATCAATGGAAATGTAACTCTGTTTACAACCTATTCATTCTTCAAATGGTATGCTACGAAGTCGCTGTGTAATAAGGGTTTTCTGAAGGTATACTTATCCGTCAAATCGCTTATGTCGTCGATAGTCTATGGATAAAGGACAATGTTAAATTTGGCCTAAGAACCAACACCAATTTGGCATTTATGATAATTCTTAGTATATTTTTTGCGATAATTATCTTTATTTAGATTGTGACGGACACTTCCAGTTAAGTAAGCTATATTAAAAAGTTAAAAAATAATCTGAGACAACCATTTTGTGTATAATCTATGGGTGCGGCCAGAGTGCACTCAGATTCAGATTCTGAAAACAAGCGCGAGAAATAAACAGTGTAGTCGAAGGGTACGGCCAGAGTGCACTCCTGATTCAGATTCAGACTCAGAAAAGAAAAAACGAGAAAAAGCAGGCAACCTGCTTAGACTACACTGTTTATTTCTCGCTCTTGTTTTCAGAATCTGAATCTGAGTGCACTGGCCGCACCCTATGACAGCGCTGCAGAAAAACACTCTTTCATCCTAATGCCGGCACTTCACTTGGCTATTCGTGTTTGCTTTTTGGAAACTTGACATCAGTCTGTCCTTTTTATTCCTTATTAAGCATGACAAGGAGAGACTGTTGACAAGTGAAGGGCCGGCATAATACTCGATACTCTGTGGTTTTGGTGCAGGCAGTTTGCATTCGTAGTAATCTGTGGCATTCGTGCATTCTCGTATCGGATTACCTGTTGTGTGTGTTTATTTGCGATTGTTTTTCCTTTAATTTAACTATTTCGGCTATCTTATATGCCATCGATGTTACCAAATAGCAGAGACCTTATTACCAAGTGCTAGAGAACCTGTGCCACAACATCCTGAGAGGATCATACTGCCAAATTATTCAAGAGCACCTGATACAGATTCACGCTGCATATTTACACAATATACATGTGATATACAAATAAATACAATATGATACAATTATGTGAAAAATAGTCAAAAATAAAAAGCAAAACTACAGTTTTTATTTTATTCATGATTCCTACCTAACCAAGCTTTTCCTAATAGTTATTCTTTAAAATCGCACCGAATAAAAATGAATTATTTGTAATATTAATTCAATTCATACCGAGTTCATATTAAGTTCATAGGTTGACCTATCTTTCATTTAATATTAAACATAATCTCAAAAAATATTTAGTTTTCCTGATAATTTAAGTTCTCAGAAGTGTCCGTCAATAATATTTGTTTTTACAGTCATTTACTCGCAATTTCGAAGCTAAAAAATAATATTTCATGATTGTTGATTCTTAGGCTAACAATGTATGGACGCAGAACAGTGTCCTTTAAATGCTCGTTCGATTAATTCGTGGCAGAAAGTTTATACAAAGCCAACTAGTGACGTGAATTTTCCTGAACAACCTCATTGTTGATGAAACAGTTAGCTTATAACAGTACATCGGGCATTCACATGTTCTTCTGTGGTAAAGAATTATTTCATAATATTAATTAGTCGTAATTTTATACCAACTGATTGGCTTATTGTGTCAACACAGATAGCCAAGTTGCAGAAATACAAAAAAAAAATTACAAATTTTGGTTGTTTCAGCTACACGATGAACATATTGAACTTATTAAATCGCTGGCCAATTTGAATACGCCGGTAAAACCTGTCAAGAAAGAGGTAAGTTATATAATATCATCCATCACTAGACTTTAGACAAGACGTCGTTCGCTTGGACTCTAGCATAAAAAAAAATCTTTAATACTTTCGAAAGTGCTAGAGTATAGCAGATTTTCACACACTTTACAGAAAACTAGTGTAAAATAGCAATAGCCTTTTGGTGGTGTTGTGTTTCTATTGGTGAGTAATGTTGGGGCTTCACGGGGTAGAGGATTTTGGTTTGGCAAAAAACATTGATAATTTTCTGAAATTAACTCGTACTTACTACCCACAAAAACAAAAGTATATCGTATGTATCTGTGCGATAGAAGGGATGATGATCACCCTTTTCATTCGTCTATCAGTAAGATCATCAAAAAGTATTGAACACGTATTTTTTCTTTATTCACATAATCACAACATTACACAAATTGATTTGAAATGTCGCATGACGTCACGTTTTGGTACAATTTTTACTTAGAAGTGACGTCACAAGTTACGAGCAAACTATGACGCGCTTTATATTTATTATTATTTGCTTGATTGACAAAAGCAAAAACAAGTGTCGATTTTTTTGTTAATCTAACTGACGGCCGCCATTATCCCTATTGTCTTACATAAAGAATAGGGTTTATTGGGAGTGAGTGATGGCAATTTTCCCCTAAATACAGCATAATAAATCATTGGTTAGAAGTTCGTGAAGAAGAAGCGCGTGAGCAAAGTGAAGTACGCCGTCGGCATGGTGTGCTGCCACCGGAAGTTCGACTACGTGGGCGTGATTCGCGCCTGGGACCAAAGCTGCGACCTGAACTACGCCGATCGCATGGAGATGGAACTCAACCTGCAGTACGGGATCAAGCAGCCATTCTATTTCGTCATGGCTGAGGACCAGTCCTGCAGATACGTGGCTCAAGGTTGGTTGACCAAATAAAATGTTACCCTATGTACAATGTACACGAATGATATACTTAAGTCTGTAGTGTTGCAGAAATAGTTTTAATGCTACCGATGGGTATATCGATTCGGTACCCTGGAAGATATAGTCACAATATTTATTTCTATAACATAAAAAAATCAATACTATCAATCGACTGTCGATACTTTTGCCATATGTAGGTAGGTAGGTATTTACTTAATACAACAAACGATTGTCGAGTTAAAAAGTTTAAGCGACTGACCTCATCATGCGTCTTCTCATTATAGTAACATAATAAATATATAGTTTCCTTTTTTAACAATAAGTACACCATGAACTTGCTATAGATATAAACAGAACTTGTAACTTCAGTTTACTTTGTCAGTTGCAAAGAGGCCAAACCCGGGCACAGTCAGAGAGTTGTTCAGTAAATTTTCTAAGCTATTTATTACTCTTTAAAAATTTAATAATAACCCGGGTTTCTGAGTGGTCGTGCTAGAAAGTATTCTTCTCAGTACGACCATCGTATCTCATAGATCGCGTTGGTAGAAATTTTCAAAACCCTGGTAAATAATAGTAAAAAATCTATAAAGTAAAAAGACTATATTCTACCGTCTAAAGACATTAGAAAAACATCCATGGTCGTGGCAGGGAGTACGACACCAGTGAGATAGTCACAGTTACTACTACACACATCAAAAGTGTCTAGGGATCAACATATATTTTTGCAATAACTTTTCTCCTGATTGATATTAATTAAAATTTTCTTTAAGGATTCATCAAATAAAGTGTTTTCGTTTGTCACAGTAACGATAAACCAAGTCACCTTTGCATTAATAAAGAAATTTGCCATTTTCCTAATAAAGGGATTTTTGACATTTGAACCACTAACACAAAAGTTCGAAAAAAAGACTGAAATAACAGTTTTCTCTAAAATTTTATTGGGTAACTTAAACAATTAATAATCCGTATTTCTACCGCGAACACTAACAACACAAGAACATCGGTTTGGCATACTCAAAATGAGTTCATCCAAATCACGCTGTGGAATGGCCGCCCATGTTCGTTGCAACAACAAAAAAAGGTCTTCTTGCGACTGGATACCCTCCATATTCGGCAGAGCTCTTCTCTGTAGCATATCCCATGCATGCTCAATCGGGTTCAAGTCTGGCGACTGAGCAGGCCAGGGCAGGACATTGATGTTAGCTGCGGCGAGAGTCTGTCTTACAACTCTTGCGGTGTGCGGTCGTGCATTATCATGCATTAACTGAAATAAGGGACCGATTTGCACTTGTAGAGGAACGATGACGTCTGATACAATCGTCTCAGCATAAATTTGAGCGTTGAGGTTGCCTCTGATCCAAATCAACTCAGTTCTTCCGCCGATCCAAATACCCGCCCATACCATGATGGTTCCACCACTATAAGGATGGACTTCCTGGCAGGATTTTAATCGCTGTTGGCGTCCAGGGGTTCTCCAGTGTCGTATACGTCTTGTATCCGGTCTCATACCAAAACGAGACTCATCAGAAAAGCACACGAAACGCCATTGTTCTTCTGCCCAATTTCTGTGTTCAAGAGCCCATTGATATCGAATCCTACGATTGTGCATTGCTATAGGTGGTACCCGTAGCGGTCTTCGGGAATGAAGGTTCACTTCATGCAAGCGGTTTCTGACTGTTTGGTCGCTAATTAAGTTCCCTGAAGAGTGATGAAGCCTCACGGCTAACATCATGGCGGTTATTGTTGGAGCTCTTCGAGTTAAGATTTGAATGTATCGGTCTTGTCTCCGTGTGGTGCAGCGATACCGTCCTCCATGGCGCTCAGCCACGGTACCAGTGCTTCGGTATCGTGTCCAAAGTCGACTGATAACACTCTGACTTGTATTCAGAGCTAAAGCCACAGTACGTTGCCGGGAACCAGCTTCTATCATTCCCACGGCTCTGAGCATTTCTTCCCTGCTTAAATGACGTCGCCGCTCCATAATAACGTTGGTTTTAATCAGTAGTAGGGAAACAGTAGCACTAATAATGTCTTCAATGCGTTGTATGTTTTTATAGGGAAAATATTGACAGCTGATTTTCATCTTTTACTCGAATTTGATTCACAGTTCCTGATTCAAATTATGAAATGCACCAAAAAGGATCCATATAAATTTATAAAATCATAAATTTATTACAAAGCCACATCTCAATCTCAAGAAATCCGCATAAAAATGCTTGATCCCTAGACACTTTTGATGTGTGTATATGAAACACACATAAGAGTGAATCTATGAATGATAACTGGAATGAGTCAGTCCGTCTGTGGGTCGCCGGAGGGACTACTACTTTAATTACTACACGTCTTGTTAAATTAAAAAAAGTTTTAAAGTGTAATACAGTTCGTTAACAATCATATAGTGTGGCATAATTTAATAAAACAGCGACGGCCACAACTATCACATATTCACCGAAATAATGAAAATGCAGAAAACATCGTCGAGATAACCCGCCCCGTTCGCCTGGTGAACTTGGAGGAGTCGATCGCGCGCGAATTCACCCACTTCGACGGGTTCGCTTACGTGGCCAACGACCAGAAGCGCGCCGAGTATCCCGACGACGCGCACATTGTCGATGTTTACCGCACTCGGTGCAGCCTTAAACCTTAGGTTAGATAGAAGGTGAGTTCCGACAACACACTTGTAGGGCCACTGGCATCAAATTATTGCAGAAAAACATCATCGAAATAACCCGACCCATTTGCTTGCTAAACTTGGAGAAAGCAATCGCACGCGAGTAACCCACTTCGACGGGTTCGTTTACGTGGACAACGACCAGAAGCGCGCCGAGTATCCCGGCGACGCGCACATTGTCGACGTCTACCTCAAACCTTAGGTAAGATAAAAGATGAGTTCCGACAACACACTTGTAGGGCCACTGGCATCAAATTATTGCAGAAAAACACCATCGAGATCATCTTCAATGTTCATCGCACTCGGTGCAGCCTCAAACCTTAGGGTGCGGCCAGAGTGCACTCAGATTCAGATTCTGAAAACAAGCGCGAGAAATAAACAGTGTAGTCGAAGGGTACGGCCAGAGTGCACTCCTGATTCAGACTCAGAAAACAAAGCGCGAGAAAAAGCAGGCAACCTGCTTAGACTACACTGTTTATTTCTCGCGCTTGTTTTCAGAATCTGAATCTGAATCTGAGTGCACTCTGGCCGCACCCTTAGCTTAGATAGAAGGTGAATTCGGATAACACAGTTAGGGCGATCGCAGACCTAGATTTAAATAGGTTACACATGTGCTGCAACTAGTATGAAAACCGAGCGAGTAATATTTTGACAACACATTACACGACACACAGCCTTGCTTGTTTATTTTTATATAATGGGTTAGACACATCTCAAAGGCATGGCAAGTCTTTATATATATCTAAAATCTCCTCCATTATTTCCCGTTCAGATCGAATAGACATAATATTGTCGTCATGTTGCTCCATCTTTCTTCTCAAAAGACAAGTCAACGCACACACCCGCTCTGAACGCCGCTTGCACAGTGACTTCTTTAAAAAATTGGCCAGTTAGGTAATCGGGCGATACCGACCATCCTTGACCTTCATTTTCATATTTCCGTCCACACAACACAATTCGATTGTCAATCTAATCAAATTAGACGTAAAATTGTATCGTGTGGAAGCCATTTTAGACATGGACAGAACTCCGCGTATCCTTTCCTCCTCCTCCTTCTTTCTTTTCTTTCAATTTCAATCGTTTTTACAGCATAATTTGGCACAATTAGACAATTTTTAAAATTTGGGATTGGCGCCCAGTGCCGAGAATGGTGGGGACGCGAAGAAATAAAATAGCCGTAACGGAGAACCATTGGTCACACCTTTTTTTTGCACGTGAAAGACATACATCTATTTCGATCTTTGTCTGTAGGTCTATGATCGTGGACTAAAGTTAGGATTAGTTTAAACCTTGTTTTGTTTCTATCATCTTTTCAGAAAACGAAGATGATAGTAGCCTATTTATACCAGATTTGACTTGTCGATCTTTTTTATGTAATAAGCTTAGAGCTTGTAAATGCTATTAAGGGTTAATAGCATTTACATTTAGTTAGGGGTATTAACTTAGTCCACAATTTTAAATAATGAGCAAACCTATCAAGTTAAGTGGTTGACTGTCTAATGTTTCAGCTACTGCATTTTTAGTATGCTTGCTGTATTAAATTGTTTTTTATACATTATTCTGGAATCAGAGTACCTACGCGAGATTCTTAAACTATATTATTTTTGCAGGATAGAATATAATGGGATTGCAGGATATCTAACTCAGAAGGGATGGAAAAAGTCACGAAAGTTGTTTTATTGGTTCTATAAATGTTCCAACTTAAAAATATATATTAATATTGATATTTTATGTATTACTTACAAGAATTATAATTATGGATGTTTTAAATGTTTAAACTATTACAAGAGTCTAACACCCATATTCTTAATCGCGTCCTCAAACGTTCCTCGACTCAGACTCATTCGAGGGCTCCTTAAGGAGTTCCTCCAAATAACCTCGAAAATGGTATTCTAGTTGGTATCTTAAACAAACTTGAGAATTCCTCCACTGAGAATTCCTCAACATTGTGACGTCATCATTTGGAGGATTTTATTTCTATAATGGTTAACAGAGGAAATATTACTTGTATGACTGTATCTTTTCTAAACCGAAATCTTCTTTGAAACGAATCATTGTCGTAAACCTTAAAAGGATTTGCGGCATCACGTAAATACCGTCGCGCCGGAAAATTATATGGTTAATCATCGTGTATGTGTTACTGAATAAATAAATAAATAAATCGTATACATAATACATAAAATCCACAAATTCGTCAATAATTTCAAAGTCAGACATAAAACTTGAAAACACCTTAAACACCACTCGAGGAAGCCTTAAGGTACGTCGAGAGCTACCTTGAGTTTGACAGTTTATTCCTCGACTCGACCTCCACTCGAGTGAGGAATATCTCAAGTGAAGGATATTTTTGTTGTCTAAGCATACGAATTTCCTCCAATGAGGTTGAGTCGAGTGGAAAAAATCTCGAGGAAACGACTAAGAATATGGGTGTAAATGTAGACCACTATTTGTCTGTAAGTAATCCATATTTGCCATCTAAATGTTGATAAAGTAGATGATATCTCTGAAATAGTTGGATGTTACATTAATGTTTTCTGTCATATTATCAAAACTGGAAGTAGCCCTACAGTCTAAACATAAATGTTGATGGACGCCATCTTCTTTACGTGTGCAATTTCCTGTAAGGGTAATGTGTAAATATAAATTTTGAAATAAATTAATATATTATGAATACAATGCCTTGTTTTATTTTTAGCTACCTATTCGTAGTCAAGTATAATATACAATATACAGGTCTCCTAAAATTGAAAATAATACTCCCAGACACATTCTGTCAGCAGTATTTAATGCCAGAGACTTGAAATGTTGAAAAACACAAACATAGTCAGAGAAAGGTATCAGGATATCTATCTATGATATTTAGGGAGCTATAATTAAATTTTGTAAACTGCCAGATCAGTCTTAGGGGCCAAAACTACCCTAAGCTAATTTAAAGTCCCACTGTGGGAGAATTCGCTCATGTTAATAGTGTGCCTTTTTTAAATACAGCTTCTTTAAAGTTATCTTATAAATAAGGAATGTAAAGGAAGCCGTTTACAATAAATAAATAATTTATTATTATCTAATTATCAAAATGATTGCAGAAAATAAGTAAGATTGTGTTTTCTGCTTTCGACATTTAAAGTGTGCCAATAAAAACTGCTGACAGAATGTGTTTGGCAGTATTAATTTCAAATTATTTTATATTCTCTTACAACATTCGTAGGAATCAGTCCTCGGACTGCAAGCACCTACCTAAAGTGACTAAATTTTTTACATACCAGAAAATTGACAGCATAAGTTAGCAAGTATATAATCGTTCCTTGTACACACTAATATTACTAAATTATCCATAATTTGTCAATGAGAAAATAAGTAAGGTCTGACGGTCTTTGGATCTTGTACTAGGGGAGCGCAGGCTAATGGGAGCCTACTAAGGGCAAACTTTAAGAGCCCTTTCACATTTTATGCAAAAAATCGTAATTTTTGAGCGCCTCGTTTACCCCCTTAGAAAAGATTTTGACTATTTCCAATAGAAGTAAACAGTACATTTATTCTTCCTATTGAAAGTTAATGTAGGATATTTGCAAATACTATATTCCATTTTTGTACTGATCGTTCTACTGCAGCTAGTTTACAGAAAACATGATAATATGCACAACTTCAAACGCCTCAATGTCTTAATTATGTTCAATAAATTAGATTAAATTAATTACTACGACATCAGAAATATGTTATTGTTGTAACGTAATGTTTTAGAAGTTTCATTGTCCATCTCATTAATTATCAAAAGAAACATCTAACCTCCGTGAGTTTTACCAAAAAATAATGCAGGTTTACCTCGTATTTTGACAATTTACTCAAATCCATCATAACTCATAAAAAGTCAAAGATTTAAATAAAAGAAAATAAATTACTTTTTTCCTTTGAAAATGCCTTAATTTACTTTGAGGATCAGTTACAGAAAATAAACCCCCATTAACCCTATCTTTATTTGGCCTTGTTTTAAAGTTTAATGTTTCGGGAAGTTTCTAAAAGCACTTTGAACTCCAAATCCCCCATTTACATTTTTTTTGGTACTTTGAAAATTTGTGTGTACCTACTGAGCTCAAATCGTAATTTTTCAACAAATTCTAAGTGAATTCTGCAATGCCTAGATAAACCATAAGTTTAAGGTGCTAGGTTAGACTATGTTAGTCAGTTATCACAAAAAACTGAACCAGAAACGTCCAACAGAATGAGAAAAAAAACGAAATCTGGTGTTAGGCGAAAATTACGAAAAAAATCATTAAAAAATTATAACTCGAAAACTACGCAAAATCGTAGAACATACATGGGGGTGATTTGGATACTCCTCATCATAAAGTATTTAAAGGACAATGTTAAAATTGGCCTAAGAACCAACACCAATTTGGCATTTATGATAATTCTTAGTACATTTCTTGCGATAATTATCAGTATTTAGATTGTGACGGACACTTCCAGTTCAGTAAGCTAAATTAAAAAGTTAAAAAATAATTTGAGACAATAAATACCATTTTATGTGTATAATCTATGGCAGCGCTGCAAACAAAATACTCTTTCTTCCTAATGCCGGCACTTCACTTGGCTATTCGTATTTGCTATTTTAAAACATGACATCAGTCTGTCCTTTTCATTCCTTATTAAGCATGACAAGGACAAACTTTTGTCAAGTGAAGGGCCGGCATAAAACTTGTTACTCTGTGGGGTTGTGGTGCATGCAGTTTCTTAGTAATCTGTGGCATTTGTGCATTCCAAAGAGTAAACCACAGACTAGTTAGAGATACTACGTATCAGACGACCGACTCTAGTACAAAAAAAAGTTAGCGTCTACACAAGTACTTCTAGTCTTGCATGACATTTACTTACTTTTTAAAATTTTGTCAAAGGGTCTCAACTTATTCATCCATAAAATTATAGGTACCTAGGTATCCCACTTAATCGGAATTTTTATTGATAATTAAAGGAAGGAAGGAATAAAACACATGAATTATTTATTAAAAGATTTATTTTTTAATTTTTTATTATATTTTTCCAACGCCATTTTTTGCGTCATAGGCAAAGAACGATTACTTAATCGGAAAATGTCAGTGCCCTTTAGTATTTTGTTTATTGTTCTGCACCAATTGATTATGGCAAATTTAATAACTAAATTTACAAAATTATCTATTACCAATAACTTGTGCTCGGTACATACAATAAAATCAAATGAATACTTAGAAATAACTACTTCTTTTATATTCTTGGCTATATTTGTTTCATGTCCTTTTATTTCTAAGTATTCATTTGATTCGTTAATTATTGTACCAAAGCACCTTACTGCACCTTCTGATGGGTAGTGCAACCGGTTTTTAGCTTTTGTATATTCTCTGTGACTTATCCAGTCATGTATATTAGTTAAGTTCCTGGTGGTGAGGGAATTTTTGCATGTTGTGCAACCACTTTTTAAATTTTGCAATACCTTTCGCACTACCCATCCAGCAGTATAGGCCCGTGAGTGTACATTTATTTTTTCTCTTCGTGCCTGTTCTAAAATCATATCAATACTGGGATGACCCGGCATGATATCTCTGTTATCAAACAGTGTTTGCAAATTAAGTACTTGATCAGCCGGGTCATCCTCACAATTAAACGTTTCATTATGAAATTTTAGTATCCTAGTTATCAGTAAGGATTTATATGTGCAGCTGAAGCTGTGGCAGTCTGGGTCATTATTCCTAAAATTATAGGCTCGCACTTGCCCAAAGAAATTTTCAATAGGGTCAGAATTAAAATATCTCGGACGCATTATCCTCATATTTTCTTTTTTAAAAAGCTGCCACAGCCTCTGGTAACTTTTTAATGTAGTTATAAAATTTGCCAATGAGGGCACTGACTTTTCTGTTCCCGTACTATCGACATATTTCATATTTTGTAATTTTTTTATAGATTCATTCCAAAATACATGATGCGGTGAATTATTTGTGACCGCCGTTCGTAGACACTTCCCTTTAGATTTTTTCCCTAACATGGAGGCTCCGTTTACGCTGTCAAATAATTGGTCTAAGAATAAGACAGTCTTTGCGGTGTTGTCCAGGGTTTCACTGACGGGTCTACCATCGGCATAGTGCGCTGAAACAATTTTTTAAACATCCTATAAAAATAATGTCTTTTTACAAATATTTATAACTTATACTAAACAGCCGCCCCGGCTTCGTACGAATGCAATGTATACTATAATATATATGTAAATGTTCCTCTTCGATCATTCTTCTTTATTGCTAAAAACTGCATGGAATCCGATGCCTAGATTAAAAGTTTTAGGGGTACATATAGAGCAATTTTGTACTATACTATCTATAGATTGTTTTATGAGTCCTGTTGTACCATGTCATATTATGACCATTACTTTGTCTGTAGTGAAATAACATTAAATTAATTTTATTTTTATCTAAGATGAGCATGACACACCTTTTACTTCAGTACAACAGAACTAAATGTTTATTCAGTATTATAAAATATACTTACAAAATTTTGCAGTGTACGATAATGCAGCAGACATGGTACTGCTTAATACTTTTACACAATTTTTTACCTATAACAAAATACAAATTTCAATAAAATGTTGACAAGACAAAATAAGTAAGACCACCAACCAGATATTATGTAAGACATATATGATATGGTCAGCATCAGATGATTATACTTTTGATGCTGACTGTAACTACTACGACTAGCTTTGCAAGATTATTTCTTTGTATTAATGAAGGAGAACCCACCTTCATTTTCTTTATCTTTTCTGGAATAACATGTTCGTCATTCAATTTATGCAGTAGCCTGACCTCAGCATGACTACAGTCTGTTTTGTAGACATCAACAATATCAGTCCATTTGGAAGTTCTCCCATCCATTGATATATTTTTAGTTATAAAGTTATTCCGCAACCCCTTAATCAAATGACAGGGGTCATAAATAACATTTAAATTCAGCCCTCTGATTTTCACAGTGCCATCTGAAAAATAAATTCTATTAAATACAATTTATTTATATAATGTTAATAAACTTTTTTGCTGACTTATTGCATAAGATACTGTTTTGTAATAGGTGGAGGTGACAATAATTCCACTCTGCTTAGATATAAAAATAACCCGAACCTAACCATAAGCAGAGATGGCTTGTTTGATTACACATTTTACACAGACTGCCGAGCCATTTAGTAATAAGGCGTGTTATGACATATGTACTATGATCAGTAGGCATTTATGCTAACTTTTTTGACATTTGAAAGTGATAAGCACTGAATTATTTACTTATCCATTGCTGTTTTTACAGGACAAGGGCCACAATAGCGTTAGAGTGAAGTAGTGTTGTATCAATAAATGGTTCGGTGATTATCAGTTTCAAGTGTTAAAAAAATAAGTAAATATGCCTACAGATGTAAGAACAGCATTTAAAGAAATTTAAAATGTCTGATGAAATAAAACTAACCTGGTTCTTGATTAGCATGGATTTGGTCTCGTTTTGTTTCCTCAGTCAGACTTTTTAAAGCCGACTGGAAAGCCGACCCTTGGTCACAAATCAAAGAAACTGGCTTTAGCCCACAATCCACAACCGCAGTTATTATATTTTTAATAATATATTTCAGTTCTATGCCTGAAGTGGCGCCTTCACAAAAATAATAACATATTGGCTGTTGCCATTTATAAACAGCACCTCTAAGTAGGAAAACCAAGGCATGGTCTGCAAATTTCCTTTTCCTTTCAATAAGGTCAACATAACCGAGAATAAAATCCCTCTTTTTGTCATAATTTAATGCAGGTGCTAAGGACATTTCATCAAATATCAGGGAGCACCATTTCTTTTTATCATTCCAGCCTGTCACCTATAAATAAAATTCATAGTAATTATTATTATTATACAATTTATTTTTATTTTCATAGTGAAAAGCAAACTTTAAATATATAGGCTTACCTCTCTATTCAATGACTCAAATACTTGAGAAGAGATTCCAGTTTGGATGTTGAGTTTCATCACCATTTTATTTAATGTTGATTTTGAAGGCAGAATAAATATTCTCCTCAGAAATCTATAGCCTTTAGGGCTTTGTTTCAGCACTGACAAGGCTATTAGTTTTTCTTGCAAAGAAAAACGATACCCTTTTTTCTTTTTGGTGCAAAGGTTGATTTGCATTTCTAAAATCTGCTTAGCATATGGATTCATGTTATTAGTTAATTTTTGGAAAGCCTTCTCCTTACTAAATTTTAATGCTCTATTTGCTCTCTTCAACATCACTTTTTGTTGTTTAGCCTTTCTATACTCCTTATAAATAGCTTGAGCAGTAGGAGTCAAATCTTTAACTTTTTTGACAAAACGTTTCTTCAAACCTAAAAAAGAAATATTTTCTGACTAGTTTAATTACATCAACAGAGCAGTAAGAAATAAGCATCTAAGAAATTGTACATCATAGTCATAATAAAAAATGGAGATGGATCACTGCAAGGAAGGGAAAAGAAGAAAAAATAAAAGGAGAAATTAAGAGATTGATCCTAGCATCAATGTTTATTTGGTAGTTTATTTTGGCGCATAGATGGGTTCAACATTAAGTATATTTAAACACTAAATAAAAGTTTGTGAAAAATCTATGTAAGTTTTATTAGATTTATAATAAGAATGAGGTGCAAGAAGAGGTGTTTCATTCCAGTGAGGTCCACTCTTTTAGTTAAAGGGGCAGTAGGAAAAGATACTACTTTTGTTGCTTTTTCAATATTCTTATTAGGTTATTACCCGAGTTCTTAATAAGTGCTTTACTTTGGCAGCTGGTCCTGGATGATGGTCCTGGAAGATTGGTACTAGAATCAGTAGTATCTGAAATAGATAATTACATAAATTTATATTGGTTTATAGAAATTTGTATTTTAATCAATCACTTGGCTACACAAAGTAAATTGCAAAAGCGGAGTCAATATTGCATTACTAACCTCTAACAGGCAATAATAATGGTTCCTTCAATAGTGCAGAGGTTGAAGCCATATTCACATCAATAACTAAAACAAAAAATATTAAAAGATAATTTTGTGTCTCTAGGTAGAAACAAACAAATATTCTTATATAACAATATCAAATTAATACCCGAGTTATCAATAAGTGCTGTACTTTGGCAACTGGTACTGGTTGATGGTTGTGGAAGAATGGAACCAGGAGCAGTGGTACCTGAAATTAATAATTTCATTGAGAAACAATCAAATCATTCTATAGAAATTTGTTTTGTATAGTAGTTACATGGTTGAAAACTTCATTTGTTGTAAAAGAGCAATGTATGAACATAACAAAATGTAATTTTTACTAACCTTTTAGAGGTTCCCTGCTGTATGTGTGGTCAAAATGTCTTTTCCGTGCGTAGTTATGTTCCAATTGAGGGTTAATATTTTCTGAAATGAGTTAGACAACTTATTATCATATATTCATACATATCAGCTTTGTTATCTTAATCAAAGCCAAGGGACCTATAAGGTCCTATGAGGAGAGAATACAATTAATGGAAGCTCTTTTATATCAAGTAGCTGTTGAAATTTTTTTGAGGGTGGTAGGGAGTAGGGTGGTTTCTAGTAACCCCTTCCATTTAGTTTTAAGCTATAGGAAATGTAAAACCAAAATTATATGTTCGTAAATTAAATCAAACAATTAGAACTATTAAATCAAAGAACAAAACTTTGCTTTTCCTTTCAATTTCTATTTGAAATTTTATTTGAAAATTTTTAAACATATTTTCGTGTATTTTGTCTTGTAATTTTGGAAAATTAAATTGCAAAATTAGTGAACATTCCTAACAGTGAAATATCAGTAGATGTTTCAATTTATAGTGTATTTATCTGTAGAAAAAGTTTTATGATATAAAAGATACTTTATTCAAAAGCTGAGCCTATAAGTCACTTAATTCTTACGAATAGGTTACTCTAGTTTTCTAAATTATACTACTTTTTATTTAACTAAAGAAAGTATAACTTGTTTAACCAGTTGTTTGTTACAGTTGCAATGCATATATGCAAAGCTATACATTGAACTAAGAAAAGTATTTAAAATGATTGTATGCAAATATGTGGTGTATACATATCCACTTGAAAAATAGTAACTAATAAACATTAAGATAACTTCCCATCGAGTATTTTAGAATAATATGTGCAACTCTTACTGATTCAGATATTGTATATTATAGCCTATATTATTTGTTCAAAATTTAAGTAGGTAGCTCTTAGTAAGTTGTTAACCTATTACTAATAGAGACAAATAATTATAGAAAAAAATGCTTACCAACCAATAATCAACAAAAGTAATAAATGAGCGTCTCTCGGGTCAAATGATAAGGAATCAACAAGATCTTTTTTTGCTTTTATATTTATTTTAAATTGACTTACCTATGTTATCTTGAGATGGTACTCCACTCAATATCTCGACCTCAGTGAACAATGATGGATAAGCAATTTTTTTGAGCCGTGATTCCGACGTAATAAAATGAGTCTCGAAGTGCTTTTGACACACGAAAAGATTCGAAAGCTGATCTTTAGGTAATGCCTTCAAATCATCACGGTTTATACACTTCAACCACATAGTAAGTCTTTTCCAGTTGTCAGGAAAATGATATAATAAAGCGTCCTGTCGCGATCTTTTGCACACACAGCACTCGTAGTACATCGTAAAAGACGTAAAATACGAATAACAATGAAGGCCTAATTGCATATAAAGTGGAGAGTAATAAGCACAAGTACTTGACTCGATCAACACGTTATACGCAATGAACAAAATGGCCGGCCGGCGTATCATACATGTCATATGTCATGTCATGCTTGTCAAAGAAGCAATTTCATCAAAATTAAAAAAAAAGAAATGTCACTTAATTCCAGTAATGGCGGCCGACTATGATTGCATTCCGTTGTATGAAGATTATCCCCCGTGGAGTAAACTCTAAACTCTGGTATAATAATACCGGAAAGTGCACTCTCGTTTCGGATTACCTGTTGTGTGTGTTTATTTGCGATTGTTTTTCCTTTTATTTAACTATTTTGACTATCTAATATCCATCCATCCATGTTACCAAAGAGCAGGGGCCCAATTCTCGCGGCATAGATATTATATCGGCTTCGAGATAATATCGAAAGGAGGGATATCTATTGAAAATATCTACTGATGGTAAAAAATACTATTCTCGTGGATTTTCGATATTCCAATGATATTATATCTATCGTAGATATTCTTTCTCTGACGAATGCGTTCCGTTTTTCTCGATTAAGTTAACATCATAGTCTTTATAAAATAATAATAAATTAGAGCAGAATTTTACAAGCAACAAAATGATATTTTATGAATTCCATTCATATTAAATATGAGTATACATTTTTTGAGTATAAGAAATCTCAACTTTACCTAAATTGTATGCGTATATAATTTCAACGTTATGTATAATGAAACGACAACATTATTTAAGATTCTCCCTTTTCAGAGAAGGCAAAGGGAACAATGCCCATAAAGCCTAGTCTTTAGTTATATTAATCTTCTTTTTTTTACATTCAAATGTCGGTGTGACGCATTCTAATGTTTCTTGGAGTGTTTGGCACGAAATTTATGGAGTTGGCTTTTTCTCTAAGCTTCTGTGAGGTAGTCAACACTACAATACAGTTCTCGCGTCCACTTGACCGAAATAGCGTATATTTTAAAGATTCCACTAATTCTTCAGTTGCGCAGACGGTTGTAACACCAAATCACACCAATTTCATTTCACAATGGTGTCGATTCTAGCATGATTCTCTAAACCTAAACTTAAATTTGACAGCAGTATATCCTTGACATTCTCTATGCAGAATGAAAAAGAGAGACTGATGTTAAATTTAGTTTTAAGATTAGAGAATCACGCCAGAATTGGCACCAATATCCACTATGAACGAATTTTAGAATAATTAAAGTAAGATGCCAACCGCACTCGCAGAAATCCCGCCAAAACTCCGTATCGTCAATAAGAAAATGGTGTCGATTCTGGCATGATTCTCTAAACCTAAACTTAAATTTGACAGCAGTGGCCCCGATTCTGGCGTGATTCTCTAAACTTAAAACTAAATTTAACATCAGTTTCTCCTTTTCGTTCTGTATAGAGAATGACAAGGATATACTGCTGTCAAATTTAAGTTTAGGTTTAGAGAATCATGCTAGAATCGACACCACTATATCCTTGTCATTCTCTATGCAGAATGAAAAAGAGAGACTGATGTTAAATTTAGTTTTAAGATTAGAGAATCACGCCAGAATTGGCACCAATATCCACTATGAACGAATTTTAGAATAATTAAAGTAAGATGCCAACCGCACTCGCAGAAATCCCGCCAAAACTCCGTATCGTCAATAAGAAAATGGTGTCGATTCTGGCATGATTCTCTAAACCTAAACGTAAATTTGACAACAGTGTATCCTTGTCATTCTCCATACAGAATGAAAAGGAGAGACTGAAGTTAACTTTAGTTTTAAGTTTAGAGACTCGTGTCAGAATCGATACCAATGTCATTCATAACTTTAAAGAATTCTAACCAAATTTTTGTTTAAACGTAATTTTTTTATGAAGTTGGCGTCCCTCATTTCAAATGGGCCCTCTTGCTCTCACGACGGCGGCGCCTTAGCACAGCAGCAGCAATCACGTCATTTATTAAATCATTGACGAAAACATGAATCAACTGATCCATCGTTAATATAAACTGGTGTCGATTCTGGCACGATTCTCTAAATCTAAACTTAAACTTGACAGCAGTGTTTCCTTGTCATTCTCTATACAGAATGAAAAAGAGAGACTGATGTTAAATTTAGTTTTAAGTTTAGAGAATCACGCCAGAATGGACACCTGTTTACCTACTTCTTTATTTACTAATTATTTATGAAGGCAGTTTACAACATCTTGAGGTAACAATAATTGGCAAAGACACACGACAACACAAAAAATAATAGGTAAAAAAAGTGGAAATAACAAGATTGACACGCCAAGATCCATAGATATTTATATATCGAAGGCTCTTTACCAGTCGATGTATGTCTACTGATCATCCGTAGATAAATATCTATTGCGACATGGTGAGAATAGGGCAAAAAGGTTTTCCTTGGATAAAAGCCAGATCATTCGATAAATATCGAAGGTGATATAATATCTGTGCCGCGAGAATTGGGCCCCAGTGGGCCAATCGCCTAACCAGATTGCTTTGGAAAACGCTATCGCTTACGATTTCATTTTGTTATTTCTAACCGCCGAAGGTTTTCAAATACCTCACGCTCATTTTCTTTAACATTGTTATTACCAATGCAAAAGAAAAAAAAAGAGCCGAGGCATTTGAAAACCTCAGGCGGCTAGAAATAACAAAATGAAATCGTAAGCGATAGCGTTTTCCAAAGCAATCCAGTTAGGCCATTGGCCCCCAGATCCCTTATTACCAAGTGCTAGTGAAAAGTGAACCTGTGCGACAACATCCTGAGAGGATCATACTGCCAAATTATTCAAGAACACCTAATACACATTCACGCTGCATATTTACACAATATACATGTGATATACAAATAAATACAATAAACAATATGATACAATTATGTGAAAAATAGTCAAAAAATAAGAAACAAAACTACAGTTTTTATTTTATTCATGATTCCTACCTAACCAAGTTTTTTCTAATAGTTATTCTTTAAAATCGCACCGAATAAAATGAATTAGTTGTAATATCAATTCACTTCATACTGAGTTCATACTAAATTCATAGGTTGACCTATGTTTCATTGATTATTAAACATAACCTCAAAAAAATTTAGTTTTCCTAATAATTTAAGTTCTCAGAAGTGTCCGTCAATAATCTTTTTTTTTACAGTCATTTACTTACGATTTTGAACCTAGAAAATAATATTTCATGATTGTTGGTTCTTAGGCTAACTATGTATGGACGCTGAACAATGTCCTCTTACGCTTGAACGTCAACTCCCCGGCCACCCTGAATACTAGTGCAAATCTACCTACGCGCCGATCAGTACGGCAACGGCGCAATTTTGTAAAAGGGCTCTTAATAAAATCCACATTTATTGAGCTTCTTATAATTTTTAATTACGAACTCTAAGACTAGGTAATCTTTTAGGTATGTTTTAATCACAGTTAGAATTAATTACAGTCATATGTTAAGGAACAATAATGATTTCAACAAAAAAAGTCACATCGCTTCCATTACCCGCACGTGGCGAGTCAGCCCATTTCACATTTCACGCCATAATATTTAAGTCTTCTGCAAAAGTTAAACTACTTTCTTACTAAATACTTTATGTGATCTTAGTTACATAGTTTCTACGAACTATTCATCGTAAAGCGAATATACATCAAAATACACTCCCGGACTCTTGAATTGAGCCACCTTACATTCCCGGGCCTAAAAGCCCAATACACAAAAAATATACAATATAACAAAAAAGTTTTTATGCATTTTTAATGCTGGCATATTTCATCGTCTTTCCCGTATGTATTATTCCAAATTTGAATTTTAGAATTTAAAATAAAGAACAAAAGCCGATCTTGGTCACTGATTTGAAAAAAATAATGACTGTTGAAAGTTGCTTTTGAAGCAATTTAATGTCGATTTAGTTTGAATTTTCGCAATTGTTGTAAACCAAAGTTTAGTTTAGTTATTTTTCTATAATTTGAACCGGTTTTGGCTATAAAATTATGGATACTTCACCTGAAGTAGCCGCGCAAGCTGTAGCACTTCTTCAATCTGGGCTAAGTCAGCGAGATGTGAGTTCACAACTTCACATAAGTCGTTCCGCTATTCAAAGAGTGTACCACCGATACCTGGATACTGGCGGCTTCGTTCGGCGAACAGGAGGACCTCGTTACCGAGTGACAACGGCAAGACAAGATCAATATATTATATAATATTTATATATTTGACCTCCGTGGCCGAGTGGTTTATACGCCGGGTTTCTTGGTGTCGCCTACTCGCGAGGTCCCGGGTTCAAATCCCGGTGGGGGCAGATGTTTGTGTGATGAATACGAGCATTTTGTACTCCAGTCATGAATGTTTAATATGTGTTTCTATATAAATATTCTTATATATGTACAATATATGCATTCTATCCGTTACCCTAGTATCCCATAACACAAGCCTTACAGTGCTTACTTTAGGGCTGGGCTAATTGGTGTGAGTGAGTGTTCGAAATATTTATTTATTATTTATTTATAATACATTGTCACTACTAGCTTACGAAATCGACGCCTTAACTCTGTTCAGATAGGTACAAGAACAGCTCAGGGACTTTTACGTAGTGGCTGTAAGTGCTCGGACCGTTAAAAGGCGACTCAATGAACGTGGTTTAAAGCCTCATAAGCCAGCCAATGGACCCAAATTGACACGAGCACACCGAATAGCCCGTCTAGAGTATGCGCGCGAACATCTAAATTGGACTCGACATCAATGGAGCCAGGTTCTCTTCACAGATGAGTCCAAGATAATGCTATACGGTAATGACGGAAGGAGTAAGGTGTACCGAAGACAGAACGAGCATTTCGCGCAATGCTGTATGGACGAGAAAGTGAGTTATGGTGGAGGATCATGGACAGTCTGGGTAGGAATCTCTATGGAAGGGAAAACTGAGTTAGAGGTAGTTACGGGACTACGACTGCCGCCCCCAGATGGCAATAGATACATTCGCCAATGTTTAGAGAACCACGTGATGCCATATGCTGGATTTATTGGCCAAGATTTCGTTTTAATGCATGATAATGCAA